GTGTTTAGTAGGGAAGGAACTCATTATTAGCTACTGGCAGCAGCAGTAAATCAACGTCAATAAAGGTATGCAGGGGTTTAACACGTTACATGCAGAGGGAAGATTTTCTGATGGTATTGGCTACATTATGAGAAAGGAGGTAAAGCAGCATTAGTGGGGTTCAAACCCTTACATTTGCAACATTGTAAGAATGTACTGTAAGCCATCACACAATTGCATAGTAGGTAAAGGTATAATGCACACATTTAGTCACTACGTCAATGGCCTGCCAGAGATGCAGCCATTAGTGACTTGATGCAACGTGTCAGAAACAATGCTGTTGCATTAGACACCGTGGCCACTCACTGCTCCTAATGCCTTCACATCTGCATCGGGACATCTCTCATTAGACCATCTCATGTAGGCTGATGGTATTGTACAGGAGTGCTATGAGCCAGTGGGTGCAAGGAAAGGCATTGATGTCTTAGGAATTGTCAAGTTCCAGTTCCATAGCACTACATTTTACCTTAAAAGATGGGGCAGGTCCTTTTGAAATAGAATTACTTACGGTGTGTATTAATGCAGTGATGTAGTGGCTAAGTTTGCATACTTATGTATTAAGGTTATAGCAGCTCAGTTTGGTTAGGTGTGTGTATAGTTGTAGCGGAAACACTTTGTGGAAACAAAAGTACAAACCGAAACGACCCTAACACAGACTGTTGCAGGTGTTTCCGCTACCAAACTAACAAAAATAGCCAAATTGAGCTGCTCCATGTTACACATATCTTAGTACTAGATGGGTTGTCAGGCAGTCATGTGTATATACTCCGTCACTGCTGTTCTGTTTGTGTAAGCTCTCACCAGTTACCCCTGGATCTTTGTAACCTAGCCTTGTCCCCAGTCTTACACCTGTGTCCATTGAATGGGTGGGACTGAGCAAAACAGTTAAAGCTGGCACACACTTACCTCGTACTACTGTTGTCTACGTATATCTTCACTGAGACCACCAGACCCAGATTGGTGCAGTCACAACATGATCCCGGCGTGTTTGTCAACACTTTGGGACTTCAATTTGGGACTTCAAACTGTCACCCAATAGTTGGAATTACTGTGTTGTTAAACTGTGCAAAGCTGTCTAGGGAAGAGCTATAATGGGTATTGAGGAAGCCTTCTATAGCCCCTGCACCGATTCACCACATTTTCCCTGTGGCTGTTGTCAGCTCTTAATTTACATTATAGAGCCCAGCAGTGTGTGTGTATTGTCAGCTTCCACAGTGGCAATTGAATGAAACTGTGCCACACACACCACATGGTCTAGTAGCTTGAGAAAGGTGTTAGTCTAGCACTCTGACATTGGCTGTATAGTAGTGGGGAGTGTTTGGGGCAATGTTGGACTGGATACTCTTCCTCTAAGTTTTCGTTCCTCTAGAATGTACCAAATAGGCAAAATGATCGAGGTGGAGCTCTTTTCGTGTGTGTTACTGCATTAAAATTCTCCCCCTAAAACCAATACCCATACACACTTACAACTTTCGGCTGCCTCGTAGCCTGCAGTGTCAATGCACACACAACCACTTACGAACCCTAACCTCTGCTGCACCGTGTGCCGAGGGTTGATGATTGTGTGACACCCTCACTCACGAGTCAGTGACAACTCTCTGGCACCGATAGTCTGCTGTTCCTGGGGTTTCTGTTGGATTTCCTTTGTTTTCCTGCACAATGTGGCTGTGTGCACACACACACTCTCTCTCTCAATGGGTCTTTCACCCGCCACTCTCCTACAATAGACTCACTAACACACCACTGTTTGGAAACTATTGCAGGCCGTTTTCCTCTTCCCATTTCTCTTTGTTGGCTACTTCTGGGATGTACTCTTGCTCACAAGCAAGCCAAGAGGTCCTAGGCTACAATCAGCTGGATGTGAAGTTTAAAATGGCCATAATTTTGGATGGAGAGAGAAGCTAGTACTGTAGCTGGTATATATTTATGTATGTGCAAACTCTGCAATTCATCCACGATTTTGTGAACGAGGCTAAAGTCATTGAGAAGGCATGTAACGGTCTACACCAGCAATCACGGATTCTAGAGACTCCAGTTAGCATGAAAAGAGCCTCTAGTGGGAGCCCATTCACCTCTTGGCAGCTGGGGCTACCAGCAAATATGTCACTTTGCAGCTCTGGGCAGTGTGGGTCGTGGAAACACATGCCCAGCGGTATGAGTATATGCATATACTGGTGATTCACTCCCACTGCCCTGGGACCACGTGTTGATGGAGTGAGTGAGAGAGAAAGCTCTGCGTCTTGGCAAGTGGTGGGTTCAGGAGGGCAATTATTGAGTCTTGATAAATGGTAACGAGAGAAGGTAAAACAGGAGGATTTTCATGCTTATCTAGTGCGAACCCACAATTAGTGCAATTCCATAGCAAGCATAGCCACTGTGGATATGACACCGCAACAGTGAAGTGTAACTCTGGAGTGTTTTTTCTCGAGTGTTTTGTAACACTCACGCTACTTTTATACAGTGTAGTCCTTTCATTACCCTCGGCGCACATGTGTAGCGAGGGTACTGTAGTTGGGTCTGTGTGTCTGTCTGTTACTCTACATCTCACTTCTCGGGTGTTTGTTCGTCTCACAAAGGATACGACCTACTTAACGGGCAATGAAGGTCAGAAATTTCGAACGTTTTTTTCTGAAACTGCTCCGTTGCAAAGCTAGAGCGTGAAAAAGCCAATATGCAAATACACAACGGACGGGATGGCTTACCACAGTCGGATCGATCCGCGTGCTCTGCTTACCTCGGAGGCACCAGAAGATACAACGCAATGGGTATCTAGTAGTGTAGTTAGCCCGCGTCAGACTCTGCGCGAGCTGGCAAGAGACCACGAGTAACAGCTAAAACTAAACCCAGCCCATCAATTAGTGGTACGGCGCATGCATTTACTTACGTGTGCGCGTCACAATGCGCCAAGGGTTTGCACCTCAGTGCTTTTAATTAGTACAGTAATTTCTCTTTCTAGTAGAAAGATGTTAATTGGTTGCCTGGTGTATGTAATTACTGGTGATTTTAATTACGCAACACTGCACGTATTTGCATACTTGTGTGCCTGCTCATGTTATGTCCGACAAACTTAAAAAATATGCTTCAGGGTATTACAAGCATGTGGTGCGTGCGTGCGTGAGCGTCCCTGAGCGATATGCATGTGCTAATATGATTTAATTACGGCCTGGATTCCACAGGTGTCCGGGGATTTGCAAAGAGGCTGGGAGGGTACGAAGGGAGTCTGGAAGAAGAAACAGTTGTCTGCGTCTGTTTGTGTGGCCGCATAATTTACCAGTAGGGGTTAATTCTCTAAACATACTCTGGCAACAGGAATATGTATGTGTAGCGTTGTAAAGACAGTGTTTGTCTAGATCGAGGCTCCTAATTGGCGGTGAATTAGTGACTATAGTTCTCTGTGGCTGTGAATAAATGCCAGGTTAATAGGCGGCTCTGTCATGCCCAGTTAGCGGAGACTGCATTGGGGCTATGGTTCTGCTCATTGCCTGCATTAGACCTGATTATTTCTCTTCACTCCTCTGTCTCTGGCTGCTGTTTATGGTCAGGGAGGCTGTTTAGTACATAATGTTGTTGTACGAAACGGAGCAAGGCAGGGCACTGTACGTAGGTGTATTATGCTAGAATGGTGAATCAAAGGCCATTATATTATGTGTATGCATAGGTACAGTATCAAAATACAGGTGTCAGGAAAGATGCATTTCCAAGCCTGGATCTGCATATTATTCATTTTGTACACCTTTTTGTTTGTGTTGTGGTGCTTCGTTGCTGATGTGCGAGATATCTGTGAGTTTTAGCAAGAGTTGGTTGTTTTTCTGTCCTCTTAACAGTTTGCAAACGGAGCGAGTCCTTTACTGCTTTATACCCACAAAATCTTATCTTCCTCCTCCATACTGTGGGAAGGACACATTTACTCCATCTGTATAATAAGGCGTATGCTCACTCGTACATTCTGCCACTCCCTGGCCTTTTGTGCCATTCATTAATCCAATTTGGAGGTGTACTTGCAACTCGATCACGTGTCACATTGTGTTAACTGTGGCAGAGGCATGCATACTGCTCAGAGTGGATCAATGGGTTGTGCCTGAGGTATTTTCTCACACTGCACTTGCATTCCTGCCTCCTCCCTGGGGAGTAGAATGTTCCACGAGTCATGTGCACCAGTCTACTGTTGCCAATAAGTGCAGTTGCATGCAAGTACAACGTGTAGGTCTTGCCGTGCATAGCAAACAACACTGCACTAAGTTCAAGATACACGACAGATGTGACTGTAGGACCCCTTGCTAGGCAGTGTAGTTGTGATACTATACATCAGGTCTACGCAACCCCCATACAGACACTAATAACCCCAACCCCACCAACGATACGTACCCAGACTATTTGTCTCACTTTCTTTTGCCATATAGTTTCCAGTTCAAACCCAAACCAGCTATATAGTATTTTGTAGGTGCATGCATGTGGTTGTGCCTCCTGTGCAGACAGAGGTATGATGTTGGGTACTGTTGTTTAGTGGCAATGATTTGGATCAGTGATCTGTGAAAATGGCTTCCTGTATATGCAATATACTGGTGTACAATTCAGTACTGTGGTGTAGTGTAGGCCTGCACTACAGACAGACTGTGGTAACTGGATATACTGCTAGTATGCTGTGATCTCTCTTTGATCCTGCCCAGTAGAGGGCATAATGCATGTACCTGTGGTAGTATGGATCTATGAGCTCTGTGATGTGCTGTTTTACTCACACTAAACCCTCTCCTAGTGTACTTTGCTAGGCAGATCATAGTGTGTATCTGGTGCTGTAGACTGTTTGTATAACACCTATGAGTGCTCTGGTACTTGTGTTGACTCGGCGACAGTGTATTAATTGCACCTGGATAAACAGTACCTTGAGGTAGAGTGCTAAGCGACAGTATATTTTTGAAAAGAATGTAAACCTGTGTGTACCAATTTCCTTTCTGTGTTTATAGTGGGGTTCTCCGATAGAGTAGGCCACGATGCATACCAGGGAGGATTGCGTCATAATTGTAAGGTTATGATGTGAGCACTGTAAAAATTCATTTCAATTACTTGGAGTAATCACACTATAGTAATAGTACTATATAGGGAAGAAAGTTTGTAGCGCTTCCACCCCTAATTGACTATGTTACGTTTATGTGGGTTTGTGAATGGGGTACTTTGTACGTACATACTTGGTCAAGTACAACCCACTTTTGTTTGTTGTTTTATCCAGTGTACTATAATTATGTACCACGTTTTTGGCTACTACCATTCCTTAAATGGCTGGCATAGCATTAAGAATGGGTTGTCATAGTACGTTTACTTGTTCCAAGGATTGCCCTCTAAGGCACTCTCATTCTAAGCGGGTGGCATTTGTGTACGAGAAATGTAGTGGAACAGTTGCTTTGTGATGACGGGTGTAGTCGACATGTGAGATATTGCTGTCCTCGTGTGTGTGTGTGTGGGCCTGGCTTACTGTAGACAGAGTGTGGCCACTGTCACAGTATACACCCCACCGAGAGTAGTAGTCTCATTCTGTGTAGATACCTGATATATATCGCTTTACAACTCAAACGTGTTTTTTCTCCATCTCTCTCCCACCTTTTCCATTTCTCTCTACCCCTTCTCAACTTACCCCTCCATCCCTCTCTCACCTCCCCTCTCTCCTGCTCCCTCCCCATTCTGCTCACACAGAAGGAGAGGTTGTCAAGACAACCAGGTTGGTTTACCCAATGCTACAGAGTGTATGAATGCAGATATAGTAGTAAATAATCCCATGGGTCTAAAGAGTTGTTGGGGGAGTGTTGCCTACCCTTTGGGGTAATTGTGATGGTAATGAAAAGGGGTGCCCTTCATCTGGAAGTGTACATTGTACACATGTATTGATGGGAGAGCCAGAAAGATGTACCGTAGAATTATGTGTCTTGTAGTGACCTCTTTGAGGCTGTAATCAGCGTTAAGTAGCTGGCATGTCTACCATGTACTGGTTAATGGGTGTATACCCTACGTTTTCTGCAAACACGCTTTGAGAATACTCTCCATATCTGACGTTTTTAATAATAAGGTGCATCGACCGATATAAAGTGTTGCTTAAAATAACTTCCCTACTAAAAAAAGAAGTATATGTGAGTAGGGAGTGAATACTAGCAACTGTGAAGTGTTGCACTAAGTTGACTGTCGGCAGCTCTGATTTCAGACCCACGGTAGCATGGCCGGATTGTAGTGTAGTAGCGTCTATATACCTGGTTAAGTGTCAGATATTGGTATACATTTCAAAGGGAATCATTATCATATCGGTTTCCACGCCGTGGGTGTACTTCCTACCACCCAGACACAGACAGGGTCTAGAGAGAGAGACAAAAACACGTCCACATGCATCACTCTGTTTGTGACCTGCCAGAATTGGCAATCATGCCTGATTGGTCCGCTGTGATGGACTGGCCGTCTCCCACAGCTGTGTCCCCCCTCTCATCCATTTTTCCCACGCTTTCTCCCACTGTACCACTTTAGTTACTAATCACCTCCTCCTCCTCCTCTGAGGTGGACTGTTTGCAGTTCTCCTACAGCTGTGCCCCTGCTCCTGTTTTCAATACTTTGTCCTACTGTTTACAGTGAAACCTTTGTATAAAGGACACACTTGGACCCCATGGAAATCTACGCAGAGGTGTCTTAATGTGCAACAGTATTAGAATGGGTCCTACATAGAAAGGTGTCCTTATTTGGGGGGGCCTTTATAACTGTGTACAACTTCACTTGTATATACTCATTTCTCTCAACCCCCTCCTCCTTCCCCTACAGCATGAGGCCAAACATAGGCTACGAGGGAGAGTTTTACCCCGACACAGGCCACACTGGCAGCCCCCCACCCCCCCTCCCCAACCACCCCTCTGTCCCCTCTCCCTACAACACAATGGGGTCGACTGCAGACTACGAGATAGTCGGCCCGGGGAGCCACTACCAGCGACTGGAGCGACCCACACTCAAGGCCACAGGCGGGATGATGTCGAGACTCGGCTCAATCCAGGACACTTTCAGCCCCTCTACCACACTCACCTCTGTGTACCCCCTCTCCCCCTCCAGTCGTAGCGAGGTACCAATTATTGGAGGAGTTCCCCCTCCGCTCCCAAGCACGGCTCGTCTGGGAGGGGCAAAGATGCTGTGCTCCCCAGAGTCCTCTGCCGTGTTTGACAGCGCCTTCCACACTGGCGTCGTGGACATTTCCAGTCCGTTGGATCGTGATCGTGTCGACAGCACCTCCATGCTCATCCCCAAGGAGAAAAGGAGTGTCTCTACGATTGGAACTGGGGAGTTCGAGGGGTTGTACACCCCGCGAGGTCTGAGAAACTCACCCACCTCCCCCAACCAGGTGAACCACCCGCTACAGAGTGTCCCTGAGTCAGGGACGAGCTTCCCAGAGCCCCGTAACCCACATCCCTTCCCCACCAGCACCACCTACGAGAGCATGCCCGGAGACGAATCGTCCTGCAGCGGTAACACGATGGTGGCCAGCTATGAGAAACCGCTACCCAGCCCCACCAAGTCCGGTCGTCATCCGAGGGCTGTGACCCTGCCAGTGAGCCCTCCTCCTTCAGACGGTCGAGCAAGAGAGGCCACAGTGTCCGTCCACCACAACTGTTTCAGAGATGCAGGCGGCTCCGTAACTCTCAGTCCCCACACGCAACAGGGGCTGGAGCTGGCTACCATGTCGGGGCCCACCTACCACACTCTGGAGCAGTCCAGTGATGTCAACAACGGCCCTCGTAGTCTCACTAATGGCTTGTTCTCTGAGCCACCTCCGCCATACCCGGCAGTAGAGACTGCAGATCTCACCCTGGACTCAGAGTCTGGTAGCAACACCCTCACTCCTGGGTTCCCAGTCGTGTCTGCTGACTTCGCCGACACACCGAGCGACGGTCCATTCCCAGTCTCCAAAGTCCGGCCGCAGAGACGACAGCTGGCCAGCGAAATTTCGTCAGATTTCACCGGAGAATCGGACTACCCGCAGCTTGATGATGCCCTCACAGACTGCACGGGTGGTAGCTCTACCACCGCCTACCCTGAGAGTGAGTGGACAGGTGGGACATCAACGGTAGGAGCCAACGGAACGCTAGCTGGGGATTCCACCATTTTCAACTTCAACGGGAGACCATCGTCACACAACGGCAGTATCAGCAGCGCCCGCACAGTCACACCTCTGTCAGACGGTGGTTCGGGACTCCACAGACCTTTGTCCACCGAGAGCTCGCAAAGGGCACCGTCTTACGACGGAACGCCAAACAGATCTCTATCCAACGGGGAGACTCCTAGCATATCACCGCTAAATGGAATGACATCGCCACACGAGACCTTGTCCATTGGAGGGAGTGTAGTACCTAACGGAAGCTGTTCGGTGACAGTGCAGTTTCCTCGTGTTCCCGCTGGTTCCTCGCATACGGTGCCGGCTAACAGTGGAGGTAGTGCAGTTAGCACCCAGGGAGGGGGGCCGATGTCACATACAATAAGTTCACCCAGAAACCACTACAAGAGGCTAGACCCAACCACTATGGAACCCAGGCTCAAGTACACGAGACTAAATGTTGGTAAACTGACCGTAGTTTGAGATCAGAGTTTCTATAATAATTGTACATGTCTTTTTTCTATGTCCTCATGTTTGCATTCTATATTGTGTATTACAATGTTTTTGTAGTCGTCATTTTTGTATTACTGTGTTAGTTTGTTGTACCACTTATAATTGCACTGACAGTTTTACCCATTGAGATTATGGGTGTAAATTTTCTGTAACCCCATTATCCTGAACGTGTACAATAATATGAATAATATCACTGCTGTAACATGTTTCCTGGAAAGCAAAAAAACTGTGCGAGACACGAATGGCGTGAGATAGTTCAACTGTGCAGGAAGTTGGGAAGTTAGGAACCAGTGAATCCTGTCGTACTTAGAATTGTAGTGGTACAGTGAATAACCCCATCATGCAAAGGCAGCACAACCTGCTATAATAATTATTATAGTGTGTGTGTGCTTTATTAGGAGAGGTTTAACCCTTTGGACGCTGTGGGCATCTCCTTATTATCAGCTGCAGTTGATAATGTATCTATGTGGTAATGAGAGGCCTGAGCATGAGCGACCATAATACACACTGATTATACTAACAAGGTATTATAAAATTTATTCCCAGCAAGCAGCATTTTCCATTATTGTATGGTGTACAAACACAAGGGTATGTATGTAGTGTATACAAACACAGGGGACGTGAACATCATTAGTATGAGACTATTATAAGGGTTAACACAAGAACCATGCTCTGTAGTAACTCTAGAGTGGAGTTGTACTTGTGGCACTCTTGTAGCTCTCGATAAAATCCTCCATGCCCGACATGTCCTCGTAGCTCTCTGACATAACACTGACACAGTTGTGCTGCCTCGCTGCACCAAGCAGCTTCCTGGGTGCCAGCGGGTACGCGGCCAGTGGCCGAGTGCTCCCTGCACTGTCACCACGACCTCGGATGGATGCCACCTCCTCTTCCTCCTCATCGACTTCGTCATAGTCTGGCTCCTCATCCTCAATCAGTCTAGCCAGAGACCCACTGCTCTGCATGGGTGCTGCCGCGCTCCCTGACTGGTTGTAGTAGGTGGGATCTGGTTTCTTGGCCAGGGTGTCATACAGGTCTCTGTTATGAGGCTTGGAGCTCCTCAAGGTATCAGGGGCTTCGTTGGGACGCCTCCTGGGAGAGGCCGTGTCGTGGTAGTGTTTGGGGTCAATAAGACTCGGGAGAGATGCGGCTGTTTTCTTTGAGATGAGCATCGGAGTGGTTCGGTCCGATATTGATATGAGCGCCGCGTTTTTGTAGTGGCCGATGCCACTTTCGTCTCTTCTCCCAACCTTTGATGATAGGAAGGGACCGTTGAGGTGGGGTAGTCGGTCCACCTCGTGGTGTACTCGGTCACCTCTGCCGGTGGCCGGCTCAGGCTTCATGGAGTAGATGTCATTGTGCGACATGCTGTAGCTGTCCAGAGCGCTGTCTGCTATATCGTCGTAGATGTCCTGTGAGAACCTGTTGCTCGGTTGGTATGGTGGGGCAGCTGTAGTGTAGGAAGTGGGCCCGGTGGGTTGCGGACTAGTAGGGCGATTGGTGTTCTTTATCGGAGGTTTTAGAGCTGGGTGAGGAGGCCGTGGAGGAGGTGGCTTGGCCTGTGTGGTGTTTTCTTTCAGTGCAGAGGCTTGTTGTTCCCCCGACGGAGGTGCTGCTGTAGCTGCTGGTGGTGAGATGACAGGGTCAGTGAGGTTCTCCATTGAAGCTTCCTCATTCACTGCAGGATAGATGGTCGCATACACGTTTAGCACACACAGTTTGTACAGAACATGTGTGGATTCCTCTATGGTCACAATAATGTGTTCAAGGAGGGTGGTAAACAACATTATTGTGTCTTTATTCGTTGGCATTGAGTGTGAAAGGCCAATAAGTGCCATTCACTGTATATACCGTTGAGGGTTTCTATAATATCCACAACAAACATTATAGGCACGCAACAGTGAAACTCTCCACACAGCAGTACGTAGGGCTACTATTGATCTGCTAACACAAACAAGCAGAAGGACATTGGCAAGCAATGTAAACTCAAGCTCTTTATCCGCATGCTTGCCCTCAAATAGAAACCACTGCATCTACATGCTTGCCCTCAATTAGAAACCACTCCAGCAATGCAATGAGCACAACATGGGCTAACATTATGCATGCACATACACCTACTCACCTCTCCTTCTCTTCTGCTTCCCCACAAGGTTTCTTCCCCTGCGACCACAGGTCATGATTACAGCTGCTATGACCAAGAGGACAGCCACGATCACGGGCAGCATGAGAGAGGGAAGTAACACAGACACCAGTCTGCTCGTCTCTCCACCCTCTTCTCTGAATGCTGGTGGAGGGCAGTTGGTAGCATCCAGATCTGAGGCAGACATAGTTGAAGATGACGGCATAACCACAGGGGGCTCTGACAGGGTCACGTTGTCCAAATCGTCCACTGATACATCTGCACATTTGAGGCTGGTCTGGTGGTAGTAGTTTAATGTCTGGGGGCATAACGGGAGGAGGGGAGAGATGTAGTAGTCACGCTCAGCGATTGCGGTTGCTTCACTCCTCGCCAAGTCGGTGATATCGGTGGTGTTCCTGATTCCCTCCGATGCAATGAGTTTGACACCAGAACCGGTCGAAGACGCTCACCCCATGCCTGTTATCCTAGCCTGGGAGTGGTACAGCAGGAAGACATCTCCCGTGACCCTATCATCTGATCAATTCTATCACCAAAAGTCGTTGTACCATTCAACAGGAGCTCCTGGGGGTCATCAGGTATCGGTTTACCCACTAGCTGAGCAAACCAGCGGATCTCAAAGTCTGATGGACTTCCTCCTATGCTTCGGTGAACAGCTGCCATGCACTCTATTCTGAGGCTGAATCGAGTGGTGTCCAGGTAGGGGTTGCAGGTTAGCTGGCTGGGAGGTTGGGTGAGGTAGTATACCCTACACTGCTCTGGAATAACAAACAAAAAATGATCGGTTGGAGAGAGAGTTATAATGTTGAGTTGTGTACAAACAAATATACATATGCTCCTGCTGATAGCTCAAAGACCTAACTAGTAGTAAACAAAACAGCAAAGCATAAGCTTGTAAACTGACATTGTGGTTTGTGTTTGTACCCACAGAATCTACTGAAAAACCAGTCAATACCTTGTCCATCTGCAAGGAGGAGCACTGAGAGAGCTGCAAGTAGCCACCATATTCTTAGCTTCACTGCTGCATTCATGGCAATGGACCAACACCAACTCTGCTGCTCTTCTAGCACTCAAGCAGGGCAACAATACAGGAGCTCCAACTGATCCTCACGCAGTCTTTACCTGGAACTAGTGGCCGGGCTCTATTGTGCTCCTACACAACAGCAGCTAGCACGAGCATTATTGAGTCTGGCTTCATTGTTTAGCCAGCAGTGACATCCTTCATGTGGGACTAATTGTGTACTGCAGTACAGCCGGCAATATATACGAGGGTGCCATTTGGCACAAAGGTTTTGTGCCAACTGAGAATCTCAAGCAACTGTTGAGGTGACGCTAATCGATTTGTCAACAAGGCATAAAAGGAGAGTTATCAACAGCAGGCCAGGGCTTGGCGTGGGTGCCAGCCAAGCTATGCAAATCGCATCATCCACTAAGTTTCCGTGACACCCGTGAAAGTAATCAAATTCTTGCACGCAATATAGGCATGCAAATCATGGCAGGTGGTCACATAATCAGGGATTATTAATCGACACGTGATGTACTACAAATCACAAAATTGGCATTATATTATAACAAAATTGAGTTATAAAAGGCTACCATAACACATTGACACAGAGACTAATTCAGTGTGGTCTGGGCTCCTCATATATTGGCTGCTCTTCACGAGAATTGGACGGACTGCACTGCTGTGGCACTGTGTACAGTGCCAAGTAATCTTGTGTCTCCGTCTCTATTTCCTGGTACGCCTGCCCGGCCTCATCCTCTTCCTCATCCTCCGTGCCAACTCTGCTGCTCGGGACTATGTAGCCGTTGCTCGTCGTTACTGTGAGAAGGAGCTTCTCTCTGCTCGTAGTTCGAGGGTTGCTTTGTAGAACGGGCGGCGGTTTTCTTGGGTGTGGTTTGTTTGTCTGCATGGGTGACTTGGCCCTGGTCATGTACAGGTGCGGTGAGTCAACAGCGTTCAACTCCAGTGACTTATAAGGCTTTTTTTTTGGGGGCGAACCCTGTTCTTTTCGGCTATCACCATCAAATTCATTTTTAGTAGCAGACAAATCAACTCCTTTTCTGTCGGTGATTTTCAGTGGCCTCTGTAGCTGTCTGTGCAGTACTGCACCTCGACTCTGGGCAGAGATGGGTTTGTGGAGAGTGGGTGGAGGTCTCCTAGGTTTCTGTGGGACAACAAGTGAGGGAATGGAGAGAGGTGGGGCTCTCTCAGACACAACTGTGTCAGGTGTCAGTTCTGGAGATGGAGTCCTCGGTATAGAGGGTGGAGTCCGGTTCACCGGGCCAACAATGTCATTTTGTGGTACAGGAGATCCCCATTCTGGTCCTAGAAAATGTACGAGAAAAAACCAACGACAAATTTATTATTGAGTGATAATGTTACTAATGCACACTATGGTTGCGATTCTTACTATTTTTACTATATACCAATGACAAGATCATTATTATAACCAATGACAAACTTAGCTATAATATAATGTAGCCACTATGGTTGCGATACTTACCGTTCCTTTCATTGGAGTGTTTGTTGTTCTTCTTTCTTCTCAAGCAGAGACAGAGCACTAGAATACATGCTACACAGATCAGCGCTATGACCACACCACCACCAACACCAACTCCTACTATGATGGCAGTATTCGCTGGAGCAGTGATGTTGTCTTCACCACTGCCACTCCCTATGTCACTACAGCTCTCACTATTGGTAGAGCAAGGTATTATGACTACTGGATCGTCTGCCACAGTATTCCTGTGCACACATACTGACTCTGCAAGGTGAAATGCTGTGTCTAGTGGACAAGGAGGCAGCGAAGAGTAGAAATCAGCTCCATACACAGTCACTTTATTTGCAAAAACATCAGGAGTCGTGGAGTTTGCTTTCAGTTCAGTGTCATGTGTGGAGAGCTTGCACCAGTAGCTGTGGCTACTGTTAGGTGGTGGATGCCCGAATATTTTGAGTACTGACTGGTATATGATGGTGCCCCTGACATCTGATTCAGTAGGAGTCTGCTGGTAAAGCCTTTCAGACTCTTTCAGGATTCGTCTTTGCTCGGTTTGCTGTATCCAATGTATCTTTGAGTCATCTCTAGTCCTTGTAGTCTGAGCCACAGCACACTGCAGGCTGATACTGTACTCTAGCTCTCCAGTCAGCTCATTTAGCTGGTAGGGATTGCATGGAAGATCACTGGGAGGTTGCAGCAAGTAGATGTAGTCACAGCTTTCACCTTCTGGAGAAGCATGAATTTAGTCATACTACCTAACTACATTATAGGTTTAGAGCAAATTAACTTACTTTCAGCTCTGCTGCATTGGAAGGAGAAGCTCAATATCCATAATGCTAGCAGTAGTACTGAGAGCAAATCCCACCGTAGCTGCTTCATAACTGCCGTCAATTGATTGCATGCACTCTTACTCACAAGACTGAGTGATCTTACTGTAGTGTTGACTGGTGTGGTTAGGCTGAGAGCAGATGTAGGACTTTTGTGTATAAATTTGAGTAAAGGGTGTATGCTGTGGTAAGTATGGGCATAGCTCTCACGGTGTATATGGAAATCAGGCCAAACTGACGCAACATATCTTTCCCATGTTTTCCGTGTACGTTGAAATATGGTCAGAATTACTACACCTGAGGCTAAGCTTGTCATGCGCCTGGATATGCTTCACGAACCACGATATCCCATTGTAGATGAATGGGGTGTAAACAAAAAATAGTTCATTGTATATACACAACATATTTGCAATGGTGAAGGTGAATGATTTGTGAAGTTATTTCTTTCAGTCAGTTGCTGGGACCCTATTTGACATGAGGTACTCCAGGTTCTCTTGCAGTGTCTGTACGTTGTAGTGGGGTACGTCCCTACGAACAGCTCCCCATTTCATCCGCAGGTAGTGAGCGTTGTGTGCGGCTGGCCACCCTTCGCACAGCCCCTCCCAGTCAACCTCCTCCTCTTCCTCCACCCCCTCCAGCGACGCCAGGACACAGATCAACTTCAGGTCGTCCGACTTTGTCCATTTCACGCCTGCCTCTGGACTCCTCTTCCACGAGAGACTCGAAACCCATTTCTGGTGGCACTGCATTTCAGTTCGGGTCCCGACCTTTGAGGCTACGTCTCTCCAGCTGACACTAGGGGGAAGATCATCCCCTTCTCCACCATGTTCCTGTCGGAGTGTGGCCATCACGTCAAACAGCTTTTGTTCTTCCTCTTCGCTCCATCGCCCGCCCTTTCTAGGGTTCCTGAGGCTCCGGAAACGATCGAGTACGGCACGGCCGGTTGTTCCCATGTGTCTCCCAATCTCGGCCCATCTGTTCCCGTGAATTTCGCGCAGCCTCATCAGTTCCCTGTCCATCTCCTCAGTCCACCTCCCAACATAGTTCTGGACATTGAACACCTGTATTGCCTTCCTGTAGATGAAAAACAGCGGCCTCTGGATCCCTTTCCCTATAAACTGGTAGAAATTGCGATGTTCTCTCCTGTGGTTGGATCTACCCATGCTCAGAATGAACGTGGCAATCTCCTTTACTCTGTTCTCCTTCATGAAGGCCTTGACGTTACGTTTGAGTAGCCTGAGTTCCTGGACCGACCATCTCCCCTTCTTCCACACCAGTCCGTCTTTCTCCATCAACTCGCGGCCTTCCTTGCTCGTCCGGTACCACCGTCGGTGAAGGTCGTCGTACTGGTCTTCTTCTTGGTAGAACGTTTGTAGTGCCAGCTCGTGGGCTCCTTCGTCTTCCAGCTCATCTCCTCCAATAACGATAGGCTGGTAAATGCCTTTCCTACCGCTAGATGCCGTAGACGGAGAAGAACCGCTCGCCGTTGTCATCGTTGTACGGTGTGCTTTAGTTAGAGTGTTGCGCAGGCTTGACCTTTTCCCTCGCATTGCGCATGAGCGAATCCGCTTTTGAGTTTCCAGGTCCAAATGGCGAGTGCTCGGGTGGTAGTGAAGGTTGCTGTGCTGGGAGAACCTAAAACAGGCAAATCTAGCATCATCAGGCGCTACGTGGACGGAAAATTCTCTGGCAGCAACAGCACCGGCATCGACTTTCGTCAAAAGTTCATATCTGTCATTGGCCAGGAATACTCGTACGAGATATGGGACGTGCCCAACTGGACGCTGTTGGAGAACCTGGGTGCCGATTTTTGGAGGGACATAAGTGGAATCGCGCTCGTTTTCGACGTAACGAAGGCGTCCTCGTTTTGCGTGTTCGACAAGCTGCACAGATGTGTGGCAAGTGTTGTGAGCAAGGAGGACCTACCTCTGGTGGTGGGAGGGAACATGGTGGACCGAGATCCCTCCGTGAGGGACGTATCTTCTGAAACGGCGGAGGGCTGGTGCAAAAACCTCGACGCTCTCTACTTCGAAGTCAGTGCCATGACTGGGTTTGGTGTGAATGAGATGTTTTTGGCCCTGGCAGAGAGGGCTGTGCTGTTTTACCACCACCACCATCCCACTGAACAGGTATGAACATCCATCACGTTTTTTGTCATGTTGGTGTTAAAACCACTGCAGGGAACTTTCTCTCTGACTAATGTACAGTATGTGTCATTGCATATGTGCATGTGTGGGGAAGGCTCAGCCAAGTCTCTTCTTTGACAAGCCCTTATGTAATTAACCTCTGAATGGAGTGGGGCTTGTATTACTAATATAACCTCTGAAGGGAAGGTCTTTTTTAGAGGATCCCCATTGTAGTAAACACTGATGTCATTGTAACTCGATATGATAGCACTGTTTTTATGGATCTATATATACTCTGTACACATACACACACACTGACTCACAAACACAAACACGCACACAGCTCCCCAGGAGGTCCACAAGATTCTCTGTGCAGCTGCCCCTACTCAAGAAAGTCACCACTAGGTTTAAACGTGGTCGAGCAAACACCGTACCATTACCAGTAAGCAACTCCATAAGTTTTAGGTGTGTTGATAGCTTCCTGCTCCACATAGGGCGGGGAAGAGGATGTGGACAGTGAAGACATTGCTGCACCATCTCCTTCTTCATCAGTGTTTGCCTCGCTCCCAATCCACATCCGTGTTCCCTGGCACTCCAAGAAGAAAACAGAAGAAGCAAAGGAGCAGCTGCAGGAAGCGTCTGTAAAGCAGGTCGATGAGCTACAGAACCAGCTCGAACATGAGCAAACGAAATCTCAGATCTTGAGGAAGAGAGTCGAAGAGCAAGAAGAGGAGTTGGCAGAGAAGAACCATCTTCTGCGGGAGCTCCAGCAAACGCTATCAGATAAAGAAGCTCACTTGCGGGAGACTGGAGGAAATGAACAGAAATCTGGAGAGGCAAGTAGCAGAGCTGCGGGCAGAGAAGGAGAGGGCTCTCCAGGTGTCACCGTGGTGGGAGGTGGAGAAGGAGGAGGTTACGCTCAACAAGATGGAGATACTGGGGACAGGGGCCTGGGGTCTAGTGGTGGAGGGAGCCTTCAGGGGCAGAGTGTGGCCTCAAGTGTCTCCACAGTATCATACACAGCCCCACTTCTCCAGATCGTCCGACGAAGGTCGAAATAATGGCCCAACTGCGGCACCCCCACCTCCTCTTGTTCATAGCAGTGTCGGAGGGAAAACGAAAGACAGTCGCGCCTATATATCCCAGATCCTCCTTATCCTTGTCCCCCCTCACCTCAACGCCATGAACCCTTCTCCCTCCCTCTGTTGATCCCCGCAAGGTCTACAATACCCCAAAAATATCCATCACACCACCCCATCCTCGTCCACTTATTCTCTACCCCTGCTCCTTTCCTGCCACGCATTATTCTATTCAATGCTTACCTCTGCCTATTCTTTCTCCACTGATCAATCCCTTACCCACCTTCTCTACGATATCCTCTTTCCCTTCTCATCCCCAAACTGAATACCCCACGCTGCCCATTTTCTCTCACCCCTTCTGTCTGCTTTTACGTCTTCCTATCAACTTCTCACATATCTCTTTCCCCGACCCTCCCCCGTTCTCCATACCCTAATCCTTGAACCCCCCTTCCCATTACTTCCCCTCGTTATTCCTCATAGTCTCTCACTTTCCATCTCAATTCCTTGCGTTCTCGCCCACCTTTTACTCTCCCTATCTTACTCAACACCACCCCCCTCTACACCCTTCTCTCGTCCCCACTTGGGTCCTCTCATCATCACTGAGCGTCTCGACACAACTCTTAGACGATCTACGAATTAGGTCAGCTTCAACAGTCGAATATTGTCAGTGTTCTTCAGGGACGTGGATCAGCCCTCAACTACCTACACTTGCACGCCCCACTATCATCCAAGAGACGTGAGCTCGGCCAACATTTGCTCGAAAAGAAGTCGAGTGAACGTGGAGGGCGAAACTGTCTGATTTTGATCTGCTAATCTCATGCGCCAGTGTTCCCCGTAGGTCCGGGTGCCCATTGTATATGCTGGCTCCTGAGGTGAGAACTGCAGAGAGTGCATACCACAAACACCAAAGTTGATGTGTACAGTTTTGGCGTATGTTGGCGAAGTACTACTCTGTCAGTTTCCGAGTGTTGAGGAGCTCCCTGCAATGCTGGACACAGTCAAAGTTGTTTGGCCCCAGGCCTACCTCTGGTGTGCAGCTGACTAGAGAGAGCCCGAGATAGACCAACTATGGTCTCAGTGTTGGGACAACTTGAACACTCAACATTTCTGATGCAGA